GGAATACTGGGTGGGCAATCCATGGCTGTGCCAGGCTGGGCAATCCATGATTGTGCCAGGCTGGGATGGGGGTGTTGGATGGGCAATCCATGGCTGTGCCAGGCTGGGCAATCCATGATTGTGCCAGGCTGGGATGGGGGTGTTGGATGGGCAATCCATGGCTGTGCCAGGCTGGGATGGGGGTGTTGGATGAGCAATCCATGATTGTGCCAGGCTGGGGGTGCTGGGTGGGCAATCCATGGGGGCTGGGATGGGTGTGTTGGATGAACAGTCCATGGCCTTGCCAGGCTGGTCCAGGGGTGCCGGATGGGCAATCCGTGGCCGTGCCAGTCTGGTCCAGGGGTGCTGGGTGTGTCACCCCTGCCCACCCAGGCTGGGCTGTGGGTGCTGGGTGAGTCACCCCTGGCCGTGCCAGGCTGGGCTGTGCCGGGTGGGTGAGCCCTGACCCCCGGCAGGTGCTGAAGCTGCTGATCGTGGCCTGGGACCGGCGGCTCATCTTCACCATCGGCACGTCCAACACGACGGGCGAGTCGGACACGGTGGTGTGGAACGAGATCCACCACAAGACCGAGTTCGGCTCCAACCTGACGGGCCACGGGTACCCCGACCCCAACTACCTGGACAACGTGCTGGCCGAGCTGCTGGCCCAGGGCGTGTCCGAGGCCACCCTCAAGGACTGAGGTGGGCGAGGGGGTGGCCCCCTCGCCCCCCGCCCCCGCCCGTGCCACCGCCGCCTGCGCCGCTTCGCCGCAGCCCCGCCCCGCGCCACCCGGTGCCACCCACCACGCGTCCCCGTGTGTGTCCGTCCGTCCCTCCGTCTGTCCGTCCGTCCGTCCCGCTCTCGTGGCGATGCATCGTGGGCTGGTGCTTTCCGACCCGTGGCCTCTTTGCGCGTCAGCCGTCTGTGCCACCCGTGCCACCCGCGCCGCCCGCGCCGCCCGCCGCTGCCCCACGGAGCCGCGTCCCGCCGGTGCCATGTACATCTCTGTGTTACACAATACACCCCGCGCCGGGCTGGTGGCCCCGCGTCCCCTCCGTGTCCCCGCTCGGGTCCCTGCGCCGCCCGCCGTGACAGGAGGGGCTCCCCGAGGGGGTGGGGGGGCTCTGGGCACAGGGTGGGCTCGGGGCACGGGGGGGGCTCGGGGTGGCTCTGGGCCCTCATCACGGCGGGCGAAGGCGGCGTGGGCGATGTCCAGGTCCCGCAGCACCTCCTGCAGCCACTGCCCGATGGGTGCTGCCCCTGCAGCCAGGGCTTGGGGTCAGTGCTCAGTGCCCACCTGTGGCACCCCCCAAGGACCCACAGTGGCGCTGACCTGTTGTACCACCCCCCCAGCACCCACTTGTTGTACCCCCC